GCGAGTACAGCTAGTATGCTTATAATTCAATTCGATGACTAAAATTTTCCAAAACACAAAAGTTTATTTTGAGCGGCCTATCTGTCCCAAACAGCTCATTGTGATTGTTTCGACACATTCACTCGATCGGAACCTACCGGTGTGTTTGTTCCCCGGCGGCTTGTGACAGCCATGAGCCTAATAATATTTATCTTTCTGACGTTTCTATAAAGGAATTATGCCGGAAAATGGAGATTTAATAACGTGGGCGGGAAACCCGTGTTCGAATTTCCGTTCGAACAGATTTGTTTCATAATTTGTCTCTTTATTTATTTTAAATGAAATTTTATTGTCATCATGGAAGATCACCATCGTATACTGACTGGGCTTAATAAGAAATTTTGGATGTATTTACATTTATTATTTTTCGTGCTTAGGTCGTCCGTTTTTGATGATCAGTTCGGTATCAATCTCAATGTAAAAGATGTCACATACTTGGCCTAATCAAATAAATCAAGGATCATGCTTCATCACACATTGTTACAAAATGACACGTAACCAATGGACCGAATTCAATAAGCTTTTTATCGTTATCTGTCTCAAAAAAAAAATATCAAAATAGATCGTTATAGGGAAACATGAAAATATCAATGGAAAAGCGATAACAACAATCTACATGTTCAGTTTTAGATTGATACGGTTTTTGGATTCAGAAGAGCGTGAAATTTAACAAAATAGTGTTTTATATTTTTTTAGTTCTGTATTGTGAGGAAAATAATAAAAATAATAAAATAATAATAAAATAAAAATAATGTACTACTATTGAGAGGGTGCTATCGCTTTGTAGATCAATGTGATGACGCGACGGCACGAATTCTGTCACTACTCACTTATATCACACATATGGTGTTATAAAGTGTCTTATGAATTTTTTGTTAAAATTGAACTGAGTATGAGAAAATACATTTTTTAATAGTTATTATTGAGACGATAGAGATTTTTGCTTTTACTGATGAAGTTTAAAGTTGTAGTTTCAATATTATCATTTTATTTCTATAGTCTAGCAGAACTATATAAGAATTATATAATAATGCTACCGACCCGCCCTCGCTTCGCTTCGGAAACTGTAATTTATTATTGATTTCTCCACTGTTTAATGGATGTTATCATACATATAAGCCTTCCTCTTCAATCATTCTATCTATTAAAAAAAACCGCAACAAAATCCGTTGCATAGTTTTAAAGATTTAAGCACACAGGGATATAGAGAAAGAGACTTTGTTTTATACTATGTAGTGATGTTGAATTTTCCAACGTTGTTCCTGAAAAATTACATAATTTGCTTAAGTGACGTTATCGCACCGTATGTGCGATATGTACGTTTGTCTATGCAGCGTTCTGTCATTCAGGTCAATGATTATCTTGAAAATTTTCGTTTAGCACGATTGCGGATATTGCCAGATTTTTTCTATTGTACTCACCATTTATTATTAAAACATGCATTTTAGTAAATAGAGCATTCCACGAACTTTTGTCGTACATAATATTAAAATAAATAAAAATTTCCTTCTGGAAATAAATAGCAACCGCATATAGAAACAGACGCGAGTGAAATCGTATACATACTAATAAATTTATATTAGTAATAATTTAAATAACGTAAGACTGATTCATTCAAATGAAAAATCTGTAGTCTTAGGAATGGATGCCAAGGAAGTGTGAATACATTTTTGACACTGTTTTTGCTTACACGGCTTTTAGTGTAATGCAAATATATGAATAATTGTGCGCGTGCAGCTTGGTGCACGTGAAATAAGTGAAACTTTTTTTGCGGTATTGTGGTTTTCTTTATTCCTCATCCCTAAATCAAATTTCTCTTGTAATAAGGAATGCTATGTAGAAGAGAAAGGACCTAGCTCGCCTTGTCCTTCCCCTCTCTCCACGGTCGGGTGGTTTGCGAGACGCCTTGTCTGTTTTCCCATTCTCGCTCTTCCTAACTTGTGTCTTTTCTCTCTAGCCATAGGTAACGAATATGTCGCGAGTTTTTGTTGACGAACGAATGCTACTATAAACGCGCCTAAAAAAATTTAACTTAAATAAATTGTACAAGACGTATCAAAAATTAACGAAATAAATGGAATGATTTCACTGATAAATAATAATTTTAGCATTAAAAGCCTTCTCCAAGAATAATAGTGATCACATACCAAATATTTGCATATCGTCTTCTCTCGATCTTATTACTATCGGACACTAGTATTTCTGATAGAAACAACAGTTATAACCCCGATTATAATGCTCGTCGAAGTCTTGGAATTGATGCTTAGCTCACAGCATCAGTACGCTGAGTTTCTTAAGGATATTCCCTGCAGCCTGCGATTTGAAATAGAAAAGTGGCAAAAAAAATCCGAAAACCAGCTACCTTATCTGTTAGGCCTTCCTTTGTGTCGCTCGCTTAGCTATTGGCAATCTTCCTGCTCTCCACTAAATAAACAGTTTGGCGAATTACTTATCGACTTTGTTGGTCATTAAGCAATAAAATTAATTGAAACTTCGATCATTTGTCTCAAGATGTATGGCCTTATTAACAGTATGGTTTTACAGAGCTTCAGTGACGACTTAATACCAGGGAGCCCACAAGAACGCGGCTCATCTAGAACAAAAAAAACTCGCTCCACACTATTTTTCGATTTGGACATTCAAACCTTTTAGTGTGAGGATCGGTCCGAAAACAAAAGATTCATTACAGCCGGCATCAGATCAAACATGTTTGTGCATCGCTTATACGCCAAATGAAATTGGTTCACTATCCAAACATCTGTAAGGCAAACAGCGCTTGTATGCCTAGATCGATTAATAACTATGATCGTTCGCTTTGGATTTTATTTGGAAGATTTTGTCAACATCGCTCCCATTAAATATCTTACGGTATCTTTTATTTTATTGTCTAGGAGGCTTGAAAAACTCCGGCCCGACTGGTGTTGAATGGTTACCAAAGCTCATAGTCATGTACAACGTAATTTTCGTCACCCACCTTAAGGCATGTTGGATGGAGTTCTAAGTCTCAGCTTTTTTACTACAGCGGCTTCCTCGGCCTTCAAATCGAAACGCAATTACTGTTTCACGGCATAAGCAGGAAGGGTGATGGTACCTACCCGTGTGCTATCATAATATATTTGATTGGATATAAGAAATGTTAGGAACGTAATATTATAAACAAAATCTGTTTTAATAGTCACTTTGTCACAGCGTTTATGAAATACCTTGGTAGGGTAGTTGCTTGCTAAGACAGTACCTTGTAATTTTTTTTATTGCTCTTGTAGGCAGACGAGAATACGGCCCACCTGATGGTATTCCTCTCAGTCCTTCCACTCTTGACAAAGTGGTCGTGATCGTCGTGTAGAATTGAAGGGTTACCGCATGTTCTGTCATCTCTCTCTGGTCGAGGTATCATACTTCGTATACCGCCAGCTTCGTAACGCGTGCGTACCGATCTTAGGCTACAGGGGCAAAATATTTAAGTGCAACCATTCCTAATACCTTAACGATAAGAATACTATAGATGAAAATAGCTCGAAAATGTACTCTGAAATTAAATATTAAATTGATATGAAATACTAAAAAATACGAACATTAAATAAAATTACTAATAAACAGGAAAAATAATGAAAAAGAGGTCCCGAAATGAAACCTTATACAAGAGGCTTGCACGATGCTAATGAACAACCGTGCGCTAGATTGATTTGATCCTTAATGTACTTACTGATGGTAGGACCTCTTGTGAGTCCGTGCGGGTAAGTATCACCACCCCGCCTATTTCTTCCATGAATACGTTTCGGTTTGAAGGGTGGGGCAGCCGTTGTAACTATACTGAGACCTTAGAACTTATATCTCAAGGTTGGTGGCGCATTTACGTGGTAGATGTCTATGGGCTCCAGCAACCACTTAACACCAGGTGGACTGTGAGCTCGATCACCAATCTAAGCAATAAAAAATAAATAAATAAAAAAGTTATTTCCAGATTTGGATAATTCTTGTAGCATATTTCGGAGCACACAAACCGACACTTGACAAAATCATGGCCAAAGAAGTTTCACAAAGCAAAAACTATTGAAATATTCATCAAAAATGTAAAATGGAAATGCATTCAAAAAATTGCACGAGAAATGGAATTTCTTTTCAGAATTTTAATCGAACATTTCAATATAGAGATGAAAAGAGACTTTCAAGCCATAGGTTAAAAAAATTTTTATTTTTAAATTTTATCAAGGAATCCATTTTCCAAAATGTTGCTGGTATTTGAAATTTAGATTTTTCAATAAAAGTTTCATGAAATCATTGGAGCTTCTAGGAAGTGTGGTACTTTAATCAAATATGATGGAATCAAGTTTAATGGGAATTAATGTACCTATCAGAAAATTCTAACAAATTCAAAATTCTTCTTGTTTATATTATATAGCTTTTAAAATGCTGATTTTTGTTTGTCTTCGTCCTTTGTCTAATAAGCACATTCATGACATTTAACGGACTTTGACTTCCATAGTGAAGGATGAATAATATCGTATGATAAAAATCAAACCCGCAATTTTTTTGCGTAATTACTGTGAGCTCGTCCACAAATCTAAGCAATAGAAAAAAAAACACTTAAAAATACTTCTTTAGTGATTTTTTAATCATCAGATGAAATTATACTAGATTTAAATGATGTAATTGATATATATTTTTCTTAGCACCTGGTGATAAGTGGTTACTGGGCTCCGGTAACCAATTAATACCAAGTGTGGGCTGTGAGCTCGTCCACACATCTAAGCAATAAAAAAAACTCACAATATGTCCTACCACCAGTAAAGCCACGGTAGGCAGCGGCTTGGCTCTGCCCCTGGCATTGCTGAAGTCCATGGGCGACGTTAACCACTCACCATCAGGTGGGCCGTATGCTCGTCTGCCTACAAGGGCAACAGAAAAAAAAAAAAAAACAAAAAAAACTAACCAGTGTACTAATAATAAATTTTTCTCAACAGCTATCAATAATGACTGCCGAAGCTAACTACACGATGTCTGCGGAAAACGACACTGACGAATATATGCCATACGATGAAAGGTTGGAGACATATTTGGTTCCAATATTGTTCGCCGTTATATTCGTTGTCGGGGTGCTTGGGAACGGAACATTGGTGATAGTCTACGCCAGACATAGAGGAATGAGAAACGCTCCTAACACGTAAGTGGCGCTTTTTTGATTTATATGGCGGGATAATCTCTATCTTAAAGCAATTGAGACTTTGATTTATCTTTCTCGCTTACTATGAGATCCAACTTTTTATCTAAGGATTCTCCTGAGATTGGGCAGAAGGGTCCTGTTAAGTGAGTCGACTATTATCAAAGGCGGCAATCTGACTTTTGGACAATGATTGGTAAATCAGAAAAACGAATTATTGACTTTGTATTCCATCGGCAGTCACAAAACTCTTCGGAACGACATCTTAGATAAATAACAGGTTAACTATTAACCTTTATTTAATGCAGTTTTTGAACCGTATTCTTTGAAGGAGACGATTATATTCAAATCAATCTGTATTGACATATCAATAAAAATTTTTTGTCCAAATGCACAGATTGCCATCTTTGATAATAGACGACTCAAGTATTAGACCAGCATAATATTGTCATACTAAACCCACATTTATATGAAACTTCCTAACACTAGTCTCAGTAAAAGTGACTTTTTAGTAGCAATAGGGTTTTAGCAGGCCAAAAATGATTCATCGTCTTATTAAACGTCTATTGTATATTTGCTAAAAATTCAACAAAAGCAATTAAGTACAACAATAAGCATTTGTTAGCAATTTAATAGATTTTATGTGAGATGCATCTTGCTATAATGATGTTATAAAGTACTTAGATTAATTATGTAAACAATTTTATGGAAAACTTTGATTTCCTTACAAAATTAGCTCAATTAGGTGATGCTGTAAAATGTTTATTGAATACTAAAAGTTTAGTAAATACATACAACATGCTAAAAATTCACAAAATATTCTATTGGAATTTAGATTTAAAAACATTCCAACTGGTGGAAGACTATTTGGTTTAAGCGGCGATATTTTTGCAACTTTACAGGAGAGCCATTTACATTTTAAAATTTGGAAAAAAGATTGTGACAAAAAAACTTTTTCAGCTATTTGAATGGAGTAAACTTAAAAACTTAATTGAGATTCAATTCAAAACATCAAACCGTTGATGCTAATACCAAATAAAACACATCTTTAATTGCAAAGATAAATGTCCAAATAGATTTTCACCCCTCGATTTAATTTCCACAGGTATATATTTTCATTAGCGCTAGCGGATCTGCTAGTCATCTTGATATGCGTGCCGTTCGTCTCCATAATCTACACTTTAGAGTCCTGGCCATGGGGAGAGCTTATATGTAGGATCTCTGAATCAGCAAAAGATGTGAGCATTGGTGTATCCGTGTTCACGTTGACAGCCCTATCGGCCGAGAGATATTGTGCGATCGTAAATCCATTCAGGAAACTACAAGTGAGTTACCGCTTAGATTATATATGTTATCATGATTTATGTTACATTTCGAACGAAGCAAATGACAATCTATGTCCCTTCAAGATTAGATCGTACCAAATAAAAACATTAATGGGGCAATATTTTTAGTGCTTCATACGGTTTAATACGATTAGTGGATCATCTAAAAATCATATAGATGTCCAAATAATGGTAGCGTCATCTTTAAGATATAAGCTCAAAATTTAAATTGCATTACGTAAAATGACGTAATGACGAAAATGACTTCTCGAAAGAGAAAGAGAGAAAAAATACAAGACGGTGGAGAAGAAACGTGCCGCACCAGCTCACAAGGTGCCATAGCATGCAATTAGTTACGTTTTACGATTATTTTTAGGAGTTCATTTCCAGGGAATAGTGTCTGTTCATGACTGTGGAGGTTACTCGTGAAGATTTTTTAGGTACACAGTGGCTTAAAAAACTTGTTACCTTCCCGGATTAGTACCACTTATTAGTCAAATTTAGTACCGTGCGTTGTATCTGTGTTAACTTAGGGATCTTTCAAATCTTGCTAATATTTAATTATATATTTGAACTTTTGAGTTTCGATTGGAACAAATTACAAATTGATAAAAACAAAATTCATTGATGCAGAACCATTAACATTTAGTCAAACAAGATTGAGTGCACTTAATTATCAGTATTTTAATCATTCTATTCATTTTCTTCTGATTAATTGATAAGTCAATCGACTATGTTATTTAAAAGGGCGTTATGAGCATTTCGATAAATTTAGTAAAGGTCGACAGGCTTCGAAACGGAATAATTGATATACACTCGAAATTGAAATTAAATTGGGAAGCCAATTTTGATTCGGTAAGTAGTTCTCAATTCCGATAATTAAATCGATGGACAGTTTTGGAGTATCGAAGTTTCATTGAAATACTTTGGTACTCATAAGCGATATCAACTTTCATTATCTGGTAATTAAGTTTGCTCATTATAATTGGAATTAAAATTGCATTCAAACAGCAGTTTAAAGTTAAGCATTTAGCACCTCAGCTAAGCATTCAGGTAAATGACAAACTAACGATAGGTTGACAAAGATTACCGACATTCCGATAGAGGCACCCGTCACGTGCGGACGTGCTCATCGTCCACTAGATCGCCCGGTCTTTGTTCGCCCGGCTTTTGTTAGCCCGGCCATTGTTCGCGCGGCCTGTGTTTGTGGTACATCTGCCGACTAAGTGCTCTTTCTGGAAGTTTTTATTTGTTTTGTTTCTTTTTGTTGTTTCTGTGTTCGTGGTACATCTGCCGACAAAGTGGTTTCCTGCAAGTATTTATTTGTTTTATTTCTTTTCGTAATTTCTGTTTTGTTGTGCTTTTTCTTTGTCCTGTAGTAATCGCGCCGCATTGCCACCTGTGTTCAATAGAACCGCTCAGGTCCGAGAAGTTGGGGCCTCGCCGCAAGGCGAGTGTTTTNCGCCGGATCTTCTCAGCGGGTCGCGATTCCGATCCGGTAGTAGATTCATTCGCGTAACAATTGCTCTTGAGTTGTTAGGTCTCCTTCGGAGGCGCTCGGGCAGTTGTTAGCAAATCCCACCCCTCTTGGCTGAGCCTTTGCTCGCCCACCTGTCCTGGTGAAACTGGAAAGGCCTTCGGGCCACCAGTAAACTTTCAATCATAAAAAAAAAAAGATTACCATTTAATCTAAACCAGTGGCCCCGCAGTAGTCGAAATTCGACTATAATTAATTGGAATTGTAAGTTTGTACACTATTATGATTGTATTTTATACTTCTATAATCACAAATTTCGCTAAGACTTATATACTATAAAAAATATTAACAAAAACAAACAATATTTAATCTATTCTCAATTTGACAACAGACGTCAAGAGCAAAAGTTTGACAATAAATAGTATGCATGCGTGTGTGCGTCAAATACATGGTATGTAGAGTGTGTAATGTTTTCTTTATTGATTTAATGTATCTTTTATACATTATTTTAAAAAAATATTAGCATTGTGCACTTCTTCTCTATATTCTCTATAAGTGTGGGAAATTTCATACTCCTCCGTTCGCGCAATTTTCGTAAAAAGGGGTACAAAGTTTTTGCTTCACGTATTAATATATAGACTCTTTAAAGTTTACCGTTTTGCACGTCACCCACAGAATCTTTGTTTCCTTAAACTTTTGGCCGCTAAAACAGACACTACACCGTTTTAATCGATAAACGTTTGTTTCAGCTTCGCAAACTCCCACTTGTTTGTGCCACATTCATCTGGGGCGCGGCGTTTATCTTTGCCATCCCCGCCGCCATATTCTCCAGTACAGTGACAGTGGAGTTAAAAGACAACGTTACTATCGTATACTGCACGCCGTATCCGAAGGACTGGACTAACTACTCCAAGTACGACTTTAAATGGTTACGCTAAATCGTGATAGATATTTTTTCATTGCGCCCGCCAGAATTTTCCAGAATGATTTCACGAGGCTAGCAAATACGTGATGCCAATTTTAATAGGTCTGTGGTGTATGCTTAAGAAACTTGGCAATATGTTACATATAGAATTAATCAAAATAATCTTAGTTGTAGAGCACAATGGTAGATATAAACAAAAAGTACTTTTCAACGTTTAGCGAGTCAAAGGCGTAGTTAAAGCCACTTTGACTGGTCTAAGTTAGTTTTCCATTAATTATAATGATGCAGATTAAAAATTAAAAGCCAGACGAAATTTATGAGTCTTCATAAATTTAATAAAAAAGGCTCCCTCGTGCTAACTAAAATCGGAAAGTGGCCCAAAAACTGGACTAAAAAAAATAACGTTTTTGGATAAAAGCACAACTTATACAACCCTGCTTATTCTGATTGTGATTGATTCAAAAGTGATTCTGATTGGCGACTGATTGATCGCCAGTTGTTACGTAGCTGTCGGGATCTTGTTGCGTTGTGATTTATATTGTTTACTCAACTGCTTGCTAATATGTACGGTTCAGTGAATTATTTTTAATTGAGACTGGAACATAAAACTGCTATAATTAAAATGCTGTAAACACGGTTTAGTACTATCACACTTTTCTTTAACGGGCTCTTTTGACATAATTTAATAAGCTTCTGATTTTTTGGCGCTTTTGCAATTGCTATGATTATTGGGTAGACTGAAGATTGAGGATAGGAAGCTAGGAGCAAACAAATCTGTCTACCTTCTATCTAGTCTTTGGGGACTCGCCAAACGATCGATACCATAATAACTGTAAATTGTGGGGGTAGCTTAGTAATCCAGTTCCATTGGAAACACTTAAAAGCAAACAACAATAAGCCATTCAAAAAAGCATCATACAATTTTTTCCTTCACAGAGGGATGACAATTGCCAAAGCCTTGATATACTACGGTTTGCCGTTGATCGTGATTACGGTTTTCTATTCTCTGATGGCTCGGAGACTACTTGCAAGTACCAGGGAGATGCCAGGAGCTCTTCAAGGCGGTCAAGGCGAGGCTCAGGCTAAAGCTAGAAAGTCGGTAGCTTGCATGGTCCTTATATTTGTTATTGGTATGTATTCGTATTTATTGCAAAACATTTCTTGACTTTTAGTGTAGTTTAGAATTTTTTTTTGTCAAACCAAAACTGTGTTCAAATCCTAACATAATTATTACATAATTAATTATTCGTATCAAACAGCAAAGGGTAGGAATTACTTCTGTATTTTTTTTCTATCGTTTTCTTGATACACTTTCCGAATTTTAAAATTCAACACTAACACATTTTTCTTTCAGCAAAATAATAATAATAGCACAAATTTCAGTCCTGAAATAAATATTCAACTATAAGAATGTAAGGGATCTGGATCTTTCCGTCTGTCTTGGATATCAGAGGCTAGATAAAACAATTTCCCGACACTTATACCCTTCGCAATCTTTTTTATCACTTTCCTATACTACTACTTTTGAAATAAAGTCACATTGGTTTAAAAGCTACGTACATTTTTCTCGCTAAATCTTATTAGGAATTACTTGATTTATCGAAAAAACCGAAATATTATTTCAAAGGTATTTGAAAAAGAGTGTGTGGGCCGTTCCAAATAATTGAATATCAGCCCACAGATCCCTTTGTTACGCCTCATCGTTTTCTAGGACCAAACTCTCTAAATGGTTTATGTGTTTGGTTCAGTAAACTTCATGTAAAAATAGCAATTTATGGTCAATCGATAACTAAATATAAGCATTAAATTAATATTATTTTCTTTTTATTAGTATATACATATAAATGGCAATTAGTATTTGACATATGTTCTGATTTAATTGGACGATCATGACCGGTTTTTTGCACGATGTCAACGTATTTTGATTAAGGTAAAACTGGGATCGATGAATCGTGATGATTAGTGGAAGAGCTTTATAAGTCTTTAAGCAATCGTGACCTAAAGGATAAAATGTCTTTAGGGCACTGATGGGGCTGTTGCCATAGTGTATCTTTTCACTATGCATGAAATCATGGATCATTTCGCCTGGATGGATGTGTACTGCCTGATAATGCAGCACTAAACCGGACTGGGTGTTAAGCACTCCGGGTACAAATCGAAATTTAAACCACGATAGTGACCAGAATATATTTTTATTTGTGTGATTATTTTTAATCATTTCTGGGTTTTTTTTTTATAACATTTCAATGATTCTATGTATGTACACATTTGGACTGGTTTCGGAAATAAATGACTTTAATTAAATTTAAGAACGGCCTCTGAATGAAAACTATTGGAAGTAAAAGTTTGTATTGTTGCAGTATTCTTCATCTGCTTTCTGCCTTATCACGCTTTTGAGCTGTGGTATCATTTGTCTCCGACTTCGCTACTCGACTATAACGATTGGACCCACGCGTTGCGCATTATTGGATTCTGTTTGAGGTAAATAGAAATAAAAAAAAATCATCATCCTGAGTGTTTAAAATTATAATGATACAAGGATTTCTAAGTCAATTGACACGAAATTGCCCAGTTATATCACCTGTCCGTCAGCGTCGTCACCACTCATCATCAGAAATCACAATCATCATCACAAAATGCTCATCATCAAATTCGTGTATTGTTTGAATACATGAAATTGATGATTGAATTTGTTAAATCTTTATTGATGAAAAGAAACGTAATAGTAAAATAAGATTAATAAATCTTATGTATATTATAAGGTTTATGAACAAAGGCTGACTGATATCGTTTTAACGTTAAATCAGCTTATTGCACTGCACAATATGAAATTTCATATTGTACTTATTATGTACAATATGAAATTTCATATTGTACTTATTGATAATTATAATTTAAAAAAATACTTCAATGTGCTAAAAAAAAATATAGTTTTTATTTTATTTATTTCAACTACTACACTAATCTTTAACCACAAAGTATTTTTCCACAGTTAATATAATTTTAATTTGTGTTAACTTATTGAAATTTTGTCGATAACGAAGTTTTGTGTTTCAATATTTTTCGAATTTTGAATTTTTTCATAACATTACAAACTAGATTTCTTTGAAATTTTTTAAGTATTTCAATCAATTTACAAAACTGAGCCGTTAACAAGGGCGCTTCATATACATAAAAATTGATTTCAAGATAAAATAATCTCTTAATTATAAACACCTGTACATTTTTACAAAATAATTGCTACACTGAATTTTTACAACGAAAAGCCTATTTATGCTGCTATTAATGATGCAAAAATTATTAAAGCTTCATATAGAAATTTTAAACTGTAAATAGCTATCGTGTAAAGTTGCAAAAATGTCACTTTAACCAAATAACGTTTAATGTCTCGATATAATGAAACCAATAACCGCGAGACTACATCGTAATATATAGTAGTTTTAATTATGTCCACGATATGTAAAAACCAAAGAAAAGGCTATGTTCGCAGCCGGCTTATCTATACTCTATACTAATATTATAAAGAGGAAATATTTGTTTGTTTGTTTGTATTGAATAGGCTCCGAAACTACTGAACCGATTTTAAAAGTTCTTTCACTATTTGGAATCTACACTGTTCTCGAGTGACATGGGCTATATTAATTAAAAAAAAAAAGGAACCTTACTAAAACTCCAATAATGTAACCCAAGGTGTAAAATAATTACCTAAAATATTCTTTACATCGCGTGCACTGCGAAAACTATTGATAATAGAATAAAATAATGTACTAAGACTTTATAGAACACATTATTATTTACAAAAAGTGTCGCAACAGCATATTATTATGTCTAACTATTATATTTATGCCGCAATAAGTGTACTTTTATTTTAAAAAATAAAACAACTTCAAATATTATTGAAACTGTTGTTAAAGACCCGTGCGGAGTCGGAGCGGGCCGCTAGTTTTTTAAAAATTCTTAACAAATAAGCCGCATGGTCGTTTGCCAGTGTTTGAAAAATAACGGAATAAGTGTAGTATTCAATACAAGGAAAACATTTGCTGTTGGCGTCCACGGCTTTAGTGTGGCCTCGAAAGGGAAAACCCCGATTTTTTTACTAAAGCCAGGGTTTTTCCCCTTTCCTTGATTAAAAGAATATTTTCTCACACGACACGGGTTTAGCTATATCCGTGCAAAAAATTAATTGAATATTCCGTTTCGATATCAAAGAGCTGCAAACAAAACATACGTTGATAATATAATAATAATAATAAATAAATAAATATTTACTAACAATCACGCCACGTTAACTGGTCCCGTGATAAGTTCGTAAAGAACTTGTGTTACAGGTACCAGATAACGGATATAAATGTAAGATTTTTATTATACACATACATGTAGGATTTAATTATTACTAACATTTCTAATTATTGTAAAACATTTCTGAACGAGTGAAAGATTCTGAACGCATGATGTGTGAAAGGGACGGATGTAGCTCTAGTTCGCTCTCTCGCACGACGCCGCCATTAGGAGTAAGACGTGTTCAAAGTGCTCTCTAAGAATTAAATAAAAAGTATAGTGAAACCCTAGAAAAGAGTATTTCATTTAGACCCACACCTACAATTTCTCGCCCGGGATACTCAGGAATATCAGGGTCTAAATGATTTAACGTATCTACGCATATTTTACGAAGTTGTCGCGTGGTGTGAACAACGCCGCGGCCGCCATACTTAACCTGCGCCGACGCCACGCCGCCGGTTACATTTTTCAAAGACGAAAGACGCATTTATACGACGATATACGACGATTCTGCACGATGGCGGAGAGCAAAAACGACGATAGCAAGAATTTATTTTACACGATGGACGCTGTGCCAAAGTTCACGGGTGATGACATCACGTACTCTTCTGCGAAGTGGACACAAGATCTCGACGATAATGCCGATATATTTGGGTGGAGCCAGCAGCAGAAACTCATTATAGCGCGACGATGTTTAGCTGGAACAGCAGAATTATGGCTAAAAAGCGAAAAAACTTTCAGAAGTTACGAAGAACTAAAAGTGGCTTTGATGAAGGAATTCCCTGAGGTGATAAACAGTAAACAAATGCATGAGACAATGAGCAGACGGAAAAAACAACCCAATGAGTCGTTTTATCAATATATGCTCGTAATGAAAGAACTCGGAAAAAGAGCTAAGTTTCCGGATTACGTCGCGATTCAGTATATAATCGACGGAATATCTGACTATGAATCTAACAAGTTGTTATTCTACGGGGTAACGTCGTATTCTGTGCTCAAGGAGAAATTAGTATTATATGAAAGTTTCAAAGAGAAGTCCAAAAAAAGTGTTGATACCATGAGACGAGGTCAGCGAGACACGGCGGTAATGCCTAGACAGGTTCATCGATGTTACAATTGTGGTGAAAGAGGGCACCTATCTAGTTCCTGCCGCAGAGGTATCAAATGCTTCAAGTGCAACGGGTTCGGGCACAAGGGTACGGAGTGCCGCGCATCACAAGGTATGGAAGCTAAAAAAGCATCAAATAATTATTATGGAGGAGGTGATGAACAAGATCGGCGATCTATGTTTGTTCGACAGCAGGAGGACGACGAGAAGAACGAGAACGAACTATACGAACGTGAGCAATGCGATTTAAAAGAGCAAGTGAGTGATATGCCAAATTTTAGTTGTCAACAACTAAATCATATTGTTTCGTCAAATTTATTAAATGTAAACAAACGTGATTCTATAAACATGAGTGTAAAATCAGTAAAAGTTGGTAACTATGTGACTAATTGTTTAATTGACACAGGTAGCGACTTAAATTTAATAACTTTTGATTTGTTTACAAAACTAAAATGCGAGTACATACCAGAAAAAATGTTGCTTACTGGGTTAGGAAGTTCTAAAGTATATTCGATTGGTAAGTTCGACACAGATTTAACTATTGACAGTCACAGATATAGTATTAATTTGTATATTGTACCTACAGGTGGAATACCATATGATGTAATACTGGGTCAACAATTTTTAGTAAATACTATCACAGTTATTGACAAGGGTTTGGTTGAGGTCAGGCCTCCTTGTTATGACATATCGTATCAAAATGCTATCTGTCTATCTTCTAGTAGCAATGACCAGTGTACAGCGGTGAGGGAAATTATTGACAGTTACACACCTTTGAAGACTAAAGATGCACCTATCAGGCTGAAGATTGTGTTGAAGGATGATGTACCAGTTTCACAAAGACCAAGACGACTAGCCATCACTGAAGAACAGTTAGTTAAGCAGCATGTTGATGCATTGAGCAGAAACATACTTTTCACTGACCGAGGTACAGCATTCACAGGCAGTGAGTTCCGAGAATATTGTGAAGAAGAAGACATCGAACATGTTACAATCACTACTGGAATACCTCGTGGAAATGGCCAAGTAGAACGCATGAACAGTATTATTATTTCTGCGTTGACAAAGATGTGTATTGAAGAACCTGGTCACTGGTACAAATATACAAGCAAACTACAACAAGTGATAAACAGCACATACCAGCGGGCAATCTGTACTACGCCATTCGAACTGTTAACAGGAGTGAAACTTAAACTGAAAGAAGATTTATCAATTTTAGAATATTTAGAAGAAGAAAATAGATTGCAATTTATGAATAGGAGAGAAGAAGCACGAAGAGAAGCCAAAGCTCAAATTTTAAGAATGCAAGAGGAGAATAGAAAGACTTATAATAAACGACGTAAAGTAGGAGAAATGTACAAGGTTGGAGATCTTGTAGCTATTCAAAGGACACAATTTGGGAACGCCCTAAAATTGAAACCTAAATTTTATGGACCATATCGCATCACTAGGGAAATGGGGAAAGGTCGATATGAGGTCGAAAAAATAGACAGAAGCAAAGATGGGCCAGTACGAACTACATCAGCATTAGATTTCATGAAGAGGTGGCCTTGACTCAATCTAACTCTGGTCTGAGTGTTTAGGTGCATTGTAACACTACACTGTTTGTTTATTTTAGGTTGATCTAGTATTTACATTGCTCATTTTGTTATTGAATAAGTAACTGTGAATAATTATCATGCATTGCTGTTCTCTGTGTCATTGTAACTTGTTTGCCTCTAAACTGATAGTTTAAACCTACTGTTTTTGTTGTGTTATGTACTAAGTAAGAGTAATTACTATTTGTTTTATTAGCTGTGTGCAGAGTTATAGCATGATTGTTTGTAATAGGTAGTATAAGGTTTAACTAAAAATATTTTTGTAGCGTTATTATTGTGTAAAAATGTTTAGAAAAAAAAAATTTGCATAGTAGTAGTATTAGGTAAATTAAGGTAAAGTTAGAGATTTTATTTTTGTTATTTTTATTTTTAATTCATAAGAACTATTTTATTATCTCAGTACTTTCAGTCTGAGGCCAGACTGATGTGCAGGAAGGCCGAGTTGTAGGATTTAATTATTACTAACATTTCTAATTATTGTAAAACATTTCTGAACGAGTGAAAGATTCTGAACGCATGATGTGTGAAAGGGACGGATGTAGCTCTAGTTCGCTCTCTCGCACGACGCCGCCATTAGGAGTAAGACGTGTTCAAAGTGCTCTCTAAGAATTAAATAAAAAGTATAGTGAAACCCTAGAAAAGAGTATTTCATTTAGACCCACACCTACATACATATATTTAATATTTAATATACATCCATAATCCTGGAAAAGACATTTATATTTATCATACAAATATCTGCCCTTGGCGGATTCGAACCCGCGACCCCCTTGTGTAGTGACCATGTCACTTACCACTACAGCAGATGGCCGTTATATAATATCTATGTGTACCAAACATTAGGTACTTCTTCTTTGTCTCCACCTTATCCCACTAGGTGGGGTGGGCACAGCTATTTTTTCTATTCCATTTTCTTCTATCAGCTGTTATCTCAACACCCACTCCTCTCTCTCTCTCTCTCTCTGTCATATCATCATTCACACACCCCATCCATCTCTTCTTCGGTCAATCAAACAGTAGGTTGACAGTTTTAAATTCGTAGCTCCAAAAGGTCATATAATATCACAAGAAGAATAAAATACCTTTACAATAACGAAGCTATCTTATACATTGAGCTTCGTCCGTAGTCCGCAGTCCGGAGGTTTCGGGTATGTCCGGAATGTATCAAAAATACACCGTAAAACGACGAAGATCCTTTAAGCGTGGCTTATACCTGAAAATGTACTAAGAAATGTTGACTGGAATATACCTCCTGGGTCCTGAAATAACCCTTGGACTGCTTTTAACAATATTTACTATCCATTTACTTCCGACACACGATACGGTTGGGAACGCGTTTTGTTCACTATACCTCTGCGAGAAAGGGAATATGAAGTTATTTAGACTTTTTGCTAGCATTTTAGTAAGGACACGCGGTAATAGGTTTTAGGGTCGATTTATTTTCATCAGTTCTTTTTCTTGTGAAGTTCAACTTGTCTCCCAATACAAAGTGAATATTGACATAAACAATAATATGCTTGTAAGATATTGTTACTACGATTTACATTCCTCATAGACTGTTTGTATTCGCTGATAGAAACCTCAAACAGTTGCACAGCAGACATCACACAAAAATAGTACAGTACGACACATTACTATAGTAAGCGGCACGTAAGTTGGCAAGGTTTTGGTATAGTGGGGGTAATGTCGCGCATAGTGCACATTGCAACAAAAAAATTTTCACTTTTATTGCCCGCATATAATTTAATTTAATTTTATTTTATTGTTTATTTGCCATAACTTATTTTTAAGCCTGTGTGTTTTGAAGAAAGTTAAAGAAAAGAGAGGAATTCGTGAAGTGTATTAGGTGTTATAAATAAAATACAATTAAAAGTTAAGAAGTTTATTTTAAAAGATATACTTAATATTAAAAATTATGTGTCGCCGTCGTCACTATCATATTCTAATAGTGCTACCCCTTGGATTAAATTTATGGTAGCACCTGAGCTGGTGGAAGGAGTTGGCTCCTCATCGTCGACATAACGAAGAGTCGCTGTCGTCACTGGCGTAAATAATAAAACGCTCAGTGACTGAATCTACTATATGGTCATTGGTATTTGGTCCTGGCATTGCAAACAAATTTAAAACAATAACACTCGTAACAAAAACTAAATTTAAACAATAATAACAACTCCTAACAAAAACTTAATATATAAAAAGGGTATCCTACAACTTAGTAGGCGCATGTGTAGCCGGCAGCGAACGGAACGTAGACGTGGTGCGGGAGCGGAGCGTCGACTGACTCACCAATCGCGCGCTCGGAACGGTCACGAACGGTGCTACGTCTTTCCCCGCGTCCCGCTTGACAACCAAAGAGACCTAAAAAACGACTTCTGCGCATCTAACGACTCTTGCCAAGTTACGTGCCGGGGACTATACTAATTTGTAGAGTTATTAAACTTTAAAAAAAATCTGATCAAAGTAACACAACTAAAGAAACATCCAACTAGTTCTCTCAAGACTATTTTTTACAATGCACAAAAGTCCTTAAAATTAATAATATTATGACTTCTTGAATGATAAAACCCATTTCGGCTTCAGAGCATTCCAAAAATATTCATAAAATAAATAAACATTACAAGAAGTTCTTCATTACAAGAACTTCAAGTCCGGTGTATTCGTATCGAGCGATGTACAGGTGTTCGAATCCCGCAGGCGGGTACCAATTTTACTAATGAAATACGTACTTAACAAATGTTCACAATTGACTTCCAAGGTGAAGGAATAACATCGTGTAATAAGAATCAAACCCGCAAAATTATAATTTGCGTAATTACTGGTGGTGGTTCCTCTTGTGAGTCCGCACGGGTAGGTACCACCACCCCGCCTATTTCTGCCATGAATACGTTTCGGTTTGAAGGGTGGGGCAGCCGTTGTAACTATACTGAGACCTTAGAACTTATATCTCAAGGTGGGTGGCGCATTTACGTTGTAGATGTCTATGGGCTCCGGTAACTACTTAACACCAGGTGGGATGTGAGCTCGTCCAACAATCTGAGCAATAATAAAAAAATATATATATCTCTCTCTGTGCGTCGTATTCCTCAGTTCTGAGGGTCGTGACTTTACTGAGCACTTTTGTTAGGACTATGCTCCTCCATTCACTCCTGTCCTCCGTGCAGTGGATAGCGACATTGATGCTGGCTTCCAAAGTCGTCTTTATCTAATCGGACCAGCGCATGGAACTACGCCCCCTAAGCCTCTTTCCTTCCACTTTGCCGGTGATGAGAAGTTTTTCGAGATTGTCACCCTTTTTCGCAATGTGACCGAAAAACTCTAAAATCCTACGTAGGCAAATGGTGGAGAGTCTTAAGGCGACGCCTAGTTCTTCCAGGATTTACACGCGTTCGTCCGATGCGCCGTCCAGGGAATCCGCGGCATTTTCCTCCAGCACTAAAAAAGGATAATCAAGAACGAATTTCGTCTTTAGTTTCCTGAACTCCTGCGTGAATCCGGTCGCTTTGTACTGCGTCAGCGGCGTCTTCAGGCAGCATTTCAATCGCTACCTGTGCTGTCGCCGAAGCGCCTTACATCCAACTTGCAGCTCGCGTCTATCTAGAACCGCCATATGCGAAACATCGTTCCGGAGCACTCACCGGCATCGGTGCAACAGGTTCGAATCATGATATTTATTTTCCTATTAGTTAATTTAATGTTCTACGCGGTTGAAAGTGTTATTCTTGGAAAGACTGTGAATTATGGACGCTTATTTTAATGTACTAGTGATCCCTCGAAGTAGATTGTCGAAATTCGACTATAATTAATTGAAGTTATAAGTTTGTACACTATATGATTAAATTGTCAAAGACTATTACTTCTGTAATCACAGATTTTGCCAAGACTACACTTTAGACAAATATTAATAGAGACAAACAATATTTAATCTATTCTCAATTTAATTACAAGCAATAAGAAACTTTGGTAGTATGTGTAATGGTTTTTTTATTGATATAATGTGTTTTTAAGCATAATTTAAAAAAATATATTAGCATTCTGCACTCCTTCTCTATATTCTCTGTAAGTGTGGGAAATTTCATATTCTTCCGTCCGCCCAATTTTCGTAAAAAGGGGTACAAAGTTTTTGCTTCACGTATTAATATATAGATTTCCTCTTTTTTAATTAGCGTTCTTGGTTTATTGATATCATTTTCATGTATAAAAGCGACTAAGGCGCAGGTCGCGCTTGTGTATTTTACGATGATATGAAAAGTGTACATCGGACTATACAATTAGGTTCTCAAATTCATCGATAATTTAGAGCTCAATAATAATTTAGGAGGTACATGCAGTTATCTTACAATAAAGAACAGAAAAAACTGTTACATATGCTCTTGCAGTCTGATCATGAAGATCTAGACTGTTTTGTATAAGGTTTTCTAATTAAAAATTGTGGTTACGGCTTGGGCACGGCTTGGGAATGAGATTCTCTCTTCAAATCGTGTCATCTAATTATTTTATGTGCTACTAGCTGACCCGACAGACTTTGTAGTGCCTCAATCGACAAATAAAAGACCTAAACTTTTGTATAAACTTAAAAAAAATAAAAGGAATCCGTTCGACGGGGGACACATCAAAGGAAAAACAAAATTGTTTTTTTTATTTAATTCCGAGCATTTTCATATTTATCTAACCTTTTAAACCTTCTCTGGATTTCCACGAATAATTCAAGACCAAAATTAGCCAAATCGGTCCAGCTGTTCTCGAGTTTTAGCGAGACTAACGAACAGCAATTCATTTTTATATATAGAGATGTATCTGATCTATCTATTGACCTGTTTTAAAATTTATGTCGAAATATATTAAAATTGAATTACCTATATGAAAAAATTTCATGTGCGACAATCGAACTATCAAGAGCATTGACAATTCAACCTTTAATCTTGAAAAATGCGTTCTAATCGTTCACATTTACCGGCGAACCATTTATTTCAACGATGAATGTTCCATCAACTATTCCAGGAACCCAACAACAGAGAGTGTGGTAATATCGAACTACGATTACGGAAGCACCAACAAGAAGAGCAATATCATAACGAGAAACAACGCCGACGGGGTCACCATACTTACGATTAGGGACTCAAATGTATTCATTTCTGGTGAAATAGACGACAAACGCATCAACAGATAAACTTTGATTTAGATTATATTTCCATGATAAGAATTTGTATACGTTTTTATTTATTGCTTAGGTGGGTGGACGAGCTCACAGCCCATCTGGTGTTAAGTGCTTACCGGAGTCCTATAGACATCTACAACGTAAATGCCGCCACCCACCTTGAGATGTGAGTTCTAAGGTCTCAGTATAGTTACAATCCCTGCCCCACCCTTCAAACCGAAACGCATTACTGCTTCACGGCAAAAATAGGCAGGGTGGCGGTTTTTTTTTTTTTTTTTTTTTTTTTTTTTTNTGTCGGCAGATGTACCACGAACACAGAAACAACAAAAGGAAACAAAACAAATAAAAACTTCCAGAAAGAGCACTTAGTCGGCAGATGTACCACGAACACAGGCCGCGCGAACAATGGCCGGGCTAACAAAAGCCGGGCGAACAAAGACCGGGCGATCGAGTGGACGATGAGCACGTCCGCACGTGACGGGTGCCTCTATCGGAATGGGGGTGGCGGTATCTACCCGTGCGGACCCACAATGCGTCCTGCCATCAGTAAAATATGTATACTAAAGATGTGAGATTTATATTACTCGTAGGTACTGTATGATAAAATGCAAAATTGTAATTTATTCTGCTGCGAATGCTACACTAATTACAAGTAATTATTTGGAGTAGATAACAAATAATTAATTCGGATAAAATAAAAGTTTTATAAAAATTTATTTGTTTAAAAAAAAAAAAAAAATCAGATTCTATAGTTACTTAATATTGAAACGTTCTAACTTTTGTAGAGTTTGAAAAATCCCAATTTTATACTGAACTCATTATCAAGACCAAAGAAAATTAGTTTTTAAGATGAAAAATGTTTAATAATATTAGATTGAAACATTTTTAGATTTTAAGTGAACTGAATAGCACGTAATGTTTGAAAAATAAATAAGCTATGCTTATAATATGACTAAATTATGATTACACCCGTAGAAAAACGAGAATCTTCGGAAAGCTCTCAAAACTTTTTTTTTTTTATAATAATTTTATCATTCCAATTTTTATACAAAAGTACTATTTATACATAAGCTAAAAATATAAAGATTTAATATAAGTAATTATAATGCTGTTACATTTAAACATTATCATATAATGATATAAGTAAATAATTGCTTTTTTTAAACGTAAATTATTCAATAAGTTTATAGAATATTCATTCCTATTCGAGTAGTACAAATGTAGTAGTTTTTAGCCAAAAATTCAATTCATATAATAAATGGATGTCTGTAACGAGCTCTTTTATTTGATTCTACCTTCATTTTTACCATATATAGGAGCTTGTTGTTTGTAAGTACAGAAAAAGTCATGAGATATATAATGTTACGCGCTGGGGTTTGGGATAAATAAAATTCTACCGGAGTACAAGTTAAAAATTTGTATTCAACACTTAGAACACTTAAAACACTTCACAAACACTTTAAAATTCTCAATTCTTTTTTTTATTTTATTTTTTTATTGCCTAGATGTGTGGACGAGCTCACAGCCCACCTGGTGTTAAGTGGTTACTGGAACCCATAGACATCTACAACGTGAATGCGCCACACACCTTGAGATATAAATTCTAAGGTCTCAGTATAATTACAACGGCTGCCCCACCCTTCAAGCCGAAACGCATTACTGCTTCACGGGAGAAATAGGCGGGGCGGTGGTACCTACCCGTGCGGACTCACAAGAGGTCCTACCACCAGTAATTCGCTTCTTCCGCTTCACTTCAGATGATCCGTTCGCTGTTTCGCTTCGAATAGTTCCGATTACTAACTAACTGCGTGCCATCGGATTCGGCTATAGATGGCGTTATTGTTACCAGTTTAACATTATTAATATTGTTGAAAATAACGGTGCACACATGAATACCAAGTTTACACGGTTCGAGCTAGCCTGTAAACGTAACATACGAGCAATATTAAATTCCAAGAACACCAGATAAAAATGTAAAATAAGACAGATTTGAAAAGCGTGCTTGGAACGACTTTCAAAGGAAATGCAAAATGGTATTTTTTTAAATCACGTTGAGTGAGCCCTACAAGATCTCAGTAACATTAGAGGATATAAATTGCATAAAACTGAACTACCATCCTAAACTACTCTCGTCATGAAACCAGCTAAGGAAATCCGAGCCACTGATACATGAGTACAACTGTTTAGCCAGCAGCTCGTACTGTGAAGAGATTTTTTTGTTCACAACAAGAATGTTTCTTTATGAATGTTTTATGTATCGCAATGTACTCACAATAATACGAAGCGTTCTAAATACGTATAAAAATCTCAAACAAAGGAATGTATTTATAATAAACTAATAAAATATTGTACATTTAATTACAATTTGTCATATACAAATTTTGGTTGGTTATACATAATTACGTAATTTAAATTTCGATTTTGTATTAAGGTAGGGAGGTACCTTGGGCTCAATGTCAATCTGAGCCTTGGAGGGTCGTGAATGTTTTTCTGTCTACAGCTATTTATTTATTAAACAGTTATTTTGAGTGGTTGAGCGTGTTAAATCCAGTCGTCGTTGTTGCAATAACATATACTATAATAATTTAATTTTCCCAAAAAGTTCTCCTCTGACTTCCATCTTCAAGAATAGTGAAGCGATGAACTGTTAATACAACTATTTACCTAATACTATCTATTTCTGCTGAACTAAAATTGTAATTTCCAATTTTTTTGGTCATGATATCTAATTTATTAGAACAATTGACAACTGACACTTGTATCTCACCAGTCACAGCGGTGTTAGTCGTATATAATCTATATTAGCAAATAAATATTAACAGGGCCATTAGTTCGCTTTCCGAAACTTGCAGACAAGATTCAAAAACCTTAATATTTTATTAAAATTCAAACCGAAATTGTAGGACACTTGGGAAGAAAGCCTTATCATTTATTCGTAGGTAGAAAGCCTTATCATTTATTCGTAGGTAGAAAGGTATTTTGTCCAGATAAACGTAATCTCGATATACGGGGACGAAGATGTCAACAATGAACTTAAAAAAATCCTTAAATTTCTCCCCAATTCGCTCTAATTAGCTCCCGCGTTTCCTATGGAGCTGTTTTTTGCGCCTGTTGTATATATGAAAGAAAAGTAGTTTTAAAATGAAGCCCGCACAATTTATTAACTCACTAGACTTACCCAGCGGTTTCACCCGCCTTTAATTTGTAATTCAGAAGGAATAGAAACTCTTTGTCGTTTCCTGGAATAAATTTATTTGTGCCATTCTTTCGTCATAGCCAACAAGTCGATTTGTAAGGTCTTTGGTACGTAAAATACGAACTAGCGAACAGTCTGACGTATTATTAGCAGCAAATAGGCTTTTACCCGACGTCGCCCGTTGTTATGTATTTATTAATCCAGGATATTCTAGAGAAATATCTTAGAACGAAATTTTATAAAAAACCATGCAGCCATTTTTACGTGTCTGAGTAACAGATGTCCAAACATACAAACTTTCACATTGATATAATATTAAGCGCAGATGACAAGCAATTTAATTTAGCATTCCGTTTTTAAAATCCTTTATTCGAATGCACGCTAATATGGACGTTTTTGTGTCGATGTCCTTTAGGAACCACGTAAAATGAAGAGGGCCATTAATTCGCTTTCCGAATTATGCAGGTAAGATTAAAAACCTTAAAAGTTATACTTTCAATGCTCATTCAAAGTTTTAAATGACTATTACTGTCAATATATTAACGCGGTTGGGTTGGTTCATCAGCTCTTTCATTAATCTATATATTATAATACACAAGTCGATGTATCTAAGTGTGTTTTTTGTTATTGTCCTGTAGGCAGACGAGCATACGGTCCACCTGATGGTGAGTGGTTACTGTCGCCCATGCGCTTCAGCAATGCCAGGGGCAAAGCCAAGCCGCTACCTACCGTTACCGTTCTCTGTAGACTCCAAAACGACTGGACCGACTACAATGAAATTATCAGGAAATTTTCAGTTGGATCTAGCGGGTGATTCTGTGAAGTTTGCTAACGATCGAATCAGAGACAAATCAAATATCGGCCAGCAAAGTAGGTCGGGTTCAATTGAAACATACGCGCATTGTAGAGTACGACTTGTCAAATTAGAGAAAGCGTTTTTGTCAATAGCTTCATATTGAGGATATGAAAATACTGTTTGTTTTAACCGGCATTTCGCTTAATACGCGATATAAATCTTTGTAATTAAAGGTGCATTTTATTTGGTACTAGCTGACCCGGCAGATTTCGTAGTGCCTCAATCGAGAAATAAAAAACCTAAACTTTTGTATAAAATAATCTTAAAACAAACTAAAGAAATCCGTTCGACGGGGGACACATCAAAGGAAAAACAAAATTATTATTTTTATTTAATTTCGAGCATTTTCATATTTATCTACCTTTTAAACCTTCTCTGGACTTCCACAAATAATTCAAGAACAAAATTAGCCAAATCGGTCCAGACGTTCTCGAGTCTTAGCGAGACTAACGAACAGCAATTCATTTTTATATATATAGATTAGCATCAACAGTTCAATATTTTAATTTAACTTCAATTAAGCTTACTCCATTCAGATAGCCAAATAAGTATTTTTATTATGATATTTTTTCCAATACTTTAATGGCTCTGCTCCTGTAAAATTGCAAAAATGTCACTTAAACCATAAGCCCTTCTTCATTCACCTGCGATATAATTGTGTATGTGTCATTTCGTAATGTTAATATTCATTCCAGTAATTCTGTCACCGAAAAGTTCCGATATTTACCCAAAGAACCACACGTTATGTAATAATTCTTTGAATCCTCGAGTTACATATGCCAGGTAATAAAGAGAACGAGTTCCCGAAATTCATTTAGGTGCTGCCAATCAAGATTGCGTGTTGTAATTACGTTAATAATTACAGCTGCGTCTCTAATGTACTTCATAAAGTTTTGAGTAGCAAATTGCGATATCAAAGAGAAATCGTATCGTATAGGGTTTTCCTCGCGATGGCTTCTGGTTTAATTTGCACTGAATTAAAACGTAAACACTTTATTTTGCGTC